TCTCCCTATATATCGGCATCGAAATTCAATTGTAATTGTTTATGTTCACTTCTTACAGCCTGTTTGGGAGTGATTTTTTCTCTCAAAAAATTGATTTTTTGACCGTTATTTCACTATTCCAGTCGTCATATTTGACTTCCTCTCTCACAGGTGGACCCCACTTTTCTCCTAACGATCAAAAAATCAATTCTCAAATCACTTCCAAATAGGCTTTTAGAATGAAAACAGATAAGCTCGTGATGGGCACAAAGCATGTTTGGTTTAGGACAGTAGTAGACAATAAAATGGCTAGATGTTAAAATTTTTCTTTTCTTTCTCAAGACTGACTATTATCCAATCCACCTTCTCTCATTTTCAAGTGATTTAGAGATTAATTACTTGTGTTGGCATTAAGATGCACTAAACTTAAAAAATAGGTTACTTTTTTTACTTAAATATGAGAAAAAGTAAATCATCCAAACACGGGATATTTTACTTTTTTAAGCTTAGAAAAAGTTGGGTAAAAGGAACTTTTACGTTCTTAAGCTTAGCAAAACATGCTAGTCACGTCCAAAGTGCTCCGGTTACCAACTCTTTTGGTTGTTTGGCAGGAAGAGAATCTTTCAGCCATGAACACGGACCCCTGGTATTCTGCATATCACTATTCTCATCCTCCTCTAGCCGAAAGATTAGCTGCAATTGATGAGCCCGATAAAAAAGCGGATTGATCAGGAACGAACTATGAGCATGCTGAAAATGAGTATGATCTACTCATTTTGAACTTCTTACTGGACCGACTGTAATCTCACCAGAATAAATATTATGTGTAGTTTTCTTTTGTGATGCCATGGTCTGTAAACAATTTTCTGTTCAGTTGTATAAAAAAATCATATCCTAGACTAAAGGGTAAAGAAAATAGCTGAATGAAATTAGACTCATTTGATTAGTTAATTCTTGGACAAGGGTTATGTTTTTCAGGAAAAAGGAAGCGGCAATGAGAAAAATACTTGTAAGTTCATTCTATTTCTTAAACGAATGACATCGCCATGACGCCTTATGAACAATGTAAGGAAAACTGGGATTTTAATGAATTCTCTTTTATTGTTGTAGGGAAATATATGACATGAAAGGTTCCTAATGTTTATTTCTCATCTCATTCTTATTTTTAATCTTTATTAATTAGTGTATATTGTTCAAAAATTTTGTTTGATTGCTCTTAAATAAGAGAGAAATATTTATTCGCATTTTTTGTATTTGCTCTTTTTTGCTTATATAAAAATAAGTCGTTTTACTCTTTTAATAAATTTTTTTGAAGAAGTTCGTCATCATAGAATTAATAAAATGTTAAAAATAAGAATATGATAGAAAAATTATTGATATAGCTATTAAAGGTTAGAGATTTTGTTACTAAATTTTTACCGCGCGTTCGTAATTAAAAAAACTAAATAAATAAAAAGTGGAAGAAAAATTCATTTTTCACTTCAAAGTATCTCTTAAACAAATGCTAAGTAAGACGTTGTTTGGTTCGAAGTTTTTTCTAAACGAAACCAAACAAGCCTTTATAGATCGGCATATAGTAACGGTCCGATTCTACCGACTTTTGTCTTAGTAAATTGAAAAAATCTTACCTACAATACCGATCCCCAATCATATTCGAACACGTATGTTCGACGGCCAATTTTCCACTAACCTTCTCGTCTTCTTCAACCAGCCCTACAAACATTTTCCACGAAATTCACGAAACTTCTAATTATCTTTTACGACTTTTCTTGTTCTACCAGGTACGAACAGTATTCCTCTCTCCCTTGATTCGCTATTCACAGACACGTACATGTGTATCGATTTTTTGTTCAATTATAATTAGGATTACAATTAGATATATGGCTAACTTTTGAATTTAGAGTTCAATTTTAATTTTTTGGAAATTTTTGGGCGTTGACTGTTGGAAGCGCCGACCGTCACCATTTCCGTCAGTATTTTAGGTGGCTCTTGGTTTAATTTTCGGATTAAATTGTTATAATTAGGATTAGAAATCAGAGATGTATAAATTTTCATCTTAGAGCTCAACTGTGAAACTTGGGGAAATTTTGGGCGTTGACTGTTTGAATCGGTGGAGATCTGACCATTTCGGTGAGTGTTTTAGGTGAATTATTGTATGATTTTGTTTAGTTTTCAGATTGAACTAATTTTCTGATTTTTAGTTTGTTTTTATTTTCTTGATTTTGTTAATTTAGGGAAAAATAATTTATATATTTAGAAAGCTGTAAACTCGAATGAGAATTCATGGAATTTTGTTCTTTTATGGTTGTCTAATTAAGGTATAAATTATTTTATAATTTTTTGCCAGAAATTATCTAAATTTATGTAGAACAACTTGAATGAGACTGTATGGATTTTTTTTTTTTTACTTCTGCTTTAGACGTGTAATTAAGACACTGACAATTTCTTAAATATTTCTAGCTGAGAATTAATAAAATTGGATTTGATTGAAATGTGTAGAGTTAGGTTTTTGATCTGTGATGAGCGATGTATTTTTGTGTTTATTGCTCAAATTATTAAAACAAAGAGGATGAGAAGGAAAAACAATGCCTAAGCGATTAGACTCTCTACAGTTGAAGTTTTAAATTCAATGTTTTTCTTAATGCTTCAGGAATAAATCAATATATAATGGAAAACCTATATAAAAATTTAACAAATTTGTCCATCGGTGTTTGCTGGATCTTGGTGTTGTACAGTATTATGCTATTTATAATTGTTTGTAAACTACTCTGACCAACAATACGAATAGAGTTAAAAAGGTCTACAGGTGAAATCTGTCCTCTAATTTTTTTTTTTTTTAATATTAGACTGGGTGAGAGTACTTGTCTCCTCGAAAATTTTACCTGCATTATTTTGTGGTACTGAAGTTACTGCAGCCTACCAGCTACAAAATTATTGACGTGGGTTTTCGGATGTTCTGAAATACTTCATTAGGAGGGCCATACGTTCCTTTGTGCTGATGTGAGGTGCAGGCTTCCCCGAGGGCATATTCCCAAAGAGGAGTCCTCTCGGTAAGCACACCTCGAGAATGAGTAGCCCAATTTCTGCCTTACCAACCCCAGGAAATCCAAGAGGGGATGGTGCTGACCTGACTCAAAATGCATGAATGAATTTCATGTCTTATTCCCCTTGCCTCCTGGATTCTGGGCGATTGGAAGACAAAATGTTTCTTTTCATGAGAGCTACTACTTCATCAAAGGTGTAATTTTTTGCACTTCATGGGCACTATACCATTTGCTAGATATAATTGATCACATATTGCCCTGAAAACTACTTCATATGTAAGCTTACATAACATTATTGCAATTAAGGATCGAGGAATTTATGTTTGCTTTAGTTATTGATTCAATGGACTGCTTCATTACATCCATTCAACAAGGGGATTTCTATTTCTAGTTTTATATTCTTTTACAACCCCAGGATATGGAATTTTTTTTTCCTTGCGTATTTTCATTCACTCTTATTGCTGCAGTTTGTATAGTTAAATGAGCCGTCCACAGGATCCCCAAAGACCTTTGTTCCCATTTGGAAATCCCTTCCGAAGGATGTTCCCTAAGGGCTCAAACCTGTCCCCAAAGCTTGTTGATCTGTTGAACACTTTTGAGGTGACACTTGCTGAGAGGCTTAAAAAGCTTAAGCCAGCTGACAGCGAACATGTCCTCAGCTTATCATGGATGAGATATGCAATGGAGTCACTTTGTGCAATTCATACTGACATAAAAACTCTTATAACTGCTCTTGAACTCCCTGTCTGTGATTGGGACGATAAATGGATTGATGTGTACTTGGACAATAGTGTGAAGCTGCTGGATATCTGCATTGCTTTCAGCTCAGAGATCTCTCGGCTCAACCAAAGCCACCTTTTTCTTCAATGTGCCTTGCATAACTTGGAGGGCTCCTCAAAACAGTTGACTCGAGCACGCTTATCACTTGATGGATGGAGGCAGCATATTAGTTCAAAGAACCCGAGACTCGAGAACTGTTTTGCTATCATGGATAATCTTGCCGAAACAATAGACTTACCTAAAATCAAGAACTCGCCAAAGGGAAAGGTTTTGATGCGAGCTATGTACGGTGTTAAGGTGATAACTCTTTTTATATGCAGCATATTTGCTGCTGCATTCTCGGGTTCTATGAAGAAGTTGGTGGACCTACATGTTCCAGAGACTTTCTCATGGGCAGAAGCTTTTACTGATCTACAGGCCTCCATGAATAATGAGATAAGAAAGATTTATTCCAACCGAAGGATCACAGTGTTGAAAGACCTTGAAGCTGTTGATACAAGTGTCAACAAGTTGTACCCGATTGTACAAGATGGTTTGGACCCTGTCGAAGCTGAAGCGTTGCAATACTCAACTTCTGATTTAAGAACACAGACGGAGAATTTTTCACAAGGATTAGATCTGCTCGCAAAGGAAGTCGATAGTTTCTTCCAAATTGTTCTGACGGGTCGTGATGCTTTGCTTTGTAACCTTAGAGTTGGTGGTAATGTCACCAACTCGGTGCAACCTAATGACAGCATAGGAGGTCAGTCCGTGAGGTAAACTATGTAAAGTATTTCCGGTATACATATGGGTTTATTAGCTATTAGGTCTTATGTTGTTAGTTTGATTATATGTATTTGTGGTTTGGGAGTGCTTAATACTAAGTTGTAATATGTTTGAACTCTGTGTAATGTTAATGATATAAGTTTGTATTGTCTGCAAGATTAGTGTTCGAGGATCGATATTTACATTTGCCGTCGTCCATGTTTAGCCCGGCTCACGATGCCAGAATGCTTGGAGAGTCTGGTTGTTTTGAACATGCTTCCACAGGTCTGCTTTTACTGAATTATTGGAATAATTAGTGGTCATGTCTCTAGAAAGGGAAAATATTGACAACAAAATCATCTGAAAAAATCAAAGAAGAAACGGGCAATCTACGTTGATTACTTCAATCAGTCATTAGCAGTTGAAAATCAATTTAAAAATATGAACTTGATTTATGAATTTACGAAGTATATTTTTGATGTGTAGTTAACTTTCACCACAATGGGGTTGGGGGAGGACCCAACGCGGCCACGTCTTAGAAAAGTCATTTTTCCTTCACGGGTAATCTGAGGTTACCAGCTCAAAAGCTCACACTTCGGTTCAACTTTCTATCTCCAGAAAATACAGCAAATAACTTTTCTTTATCACATTTTACAAGCGTAGTTAAAGGTCACCAAAAGAGAGAACGAAAAGAACATGAAAAGAGCTTATTTCACCCCGAATTAAAAAATAAAAATAAAAAACACAGAAAAAGAAGGCACGAGAAATGTTGAAAAGCTCTCCTTCTTTCACAGACACCACACGAAAACTCTGTGAAAAACTGAGTCTTTGAACTGGGTTCTTGAAAAAAATTCACCTTTTTTTGGATTTCTGTGGGTTTGTAATTTTTGACATTCTTTTGTTTGGATATGTCTGTGGAATCAAGCTCTGGTTCGGGTGATCATGGTGGACATAATTTTAAAGGAGTTCCCACTCATGGTGGAAAATATATGCAGTACAATGTGTATGGGAACCTTTTTGAAGTTTCAAGAAAGTATGTTCCCATCAGGCCGGTGGGCCGTGGGGCTTGTGGCATCGTCTGGTAAGAATTAAGAAAAATGTTTTATGATTTCAATCTTTTAGATTTATTGGGAAATCTTCAAGTTTTTTTTATGCTTTGTTGATGAGTAAATTAATTTGCTAATATTTTAGTCCAACCTTTTGAAATTGGATGTCATAATTCGGCAATTTTCTATGAGTACTGCTATAATTGTATGATTATGTAATTACTATAGATTATTCGTATTAATAAGTTGTTAAGATTCTAACTGGAGAAATTAAGAACAAAGGGATTTTTATTGATTTCTGAAAGCAATTACAGGAAAGTGTAAAGTAAAACAGATTAGTACTCTCTTCTGCTGCTCAACTCTTGCCTACTACCGCTACGTTTTGCCTCTCTATTTATAGATCCTTTCTAACTGCTTGTCCCACTTCCCAGCCTGCATTAATAACAGAATTCTTTTGCTACACGTTCTTCTCAATTCTTCCGGGCTCTTCTAGAATTGGAGGCCTATCATAATTGTCCTTAGCTTAAGACATACTCTCTGTAGTTTTTAGATAAAAAAAGGTAACAAATTTTTTTCTTTCAATGTTTCTGCCTGCTTCATCTGTAGTTTTATAGTTTTAACATCGTGTCAAATCAAGTTTGGTTCGACTTTGAGTTGAAATCGCCATTGCTTTCATGCTTGGGTACTCATCCGGTCAAATTTTGGTTAATGGACCATCACACTCATCACTTATTCAGTTAAGCTACTACAAAGCCTATAATAAAATGGGCAACATTGTAGTTGGCACAGAAATTTGGTGAGGAATTATGTTGAGGGAGATATGTATACTGTTTTTCTCCGCATTAAACACTTTGGGTTGAGAGCTTAGAGTTTTAATGAAGCAGTAGTTGCCTTGGATATGCAATACTCCCATTGAAAAGCAACTCCAATTCCTCCAACATCTTGTCCGAGATAGCACCAGTTCGGACTGATGGTTCGTGTACTATACCAATTCTTGCCCTTGATTGACAGTCCCCATGTTTCGCTTTTGTCAATTGATTGATGTTTCCCTTTTGCAATTGGTAGAAGTACTTGGCGACCAATTCTTAACCTTGTTTGATCCATTCCCAATATTATTTTCTACACGTGTTCTTTTCATTTTTGGGGTTATTATCCTTTTCTAATTTACCAATTCTACCTCTAATACTATCATTCCTCTCACAGGCTAGAACTAGCTCAAGTGGTAAGAGATCCCCTAAAAAAACTCTTATCTTGTGTTATGACTACTAAATGACGCGATAGATGGCATAACAAATACTAATATTTAGATAGATAGCAGTTTTGAGACATTAAATTGTAAACAAAAATTACTTTTCTAAAAGAGAGCCAATATGATGTACTATAATATTATCCCTTGTATCATCTATGCAATTTTGTCTTAGTAGTTCCAGTCCTCGTAAATTTTAAACCACCTTGTCACTTTGGGGAAGGTCTTCAAATGAGTGTTTAGAACTTTGGAGTGATGCTGCTTCCCATGAGCAAATTGTGCGAGTAGGTTACAATTATTCTGTTCAAGTATATTTGTTTTTTTTGGATATATTTTCATTGTGAAGGAAAACAAGTGATTTTTTTTTTTTTCATCACTTGTTTCAGTGCTGCCATGAATTCAGAGACACGCGAGGAAGTCGCCATAAAGAAGATTGGCAATGCTTTTGACAACAGAATAGATGCCAAGAGGACTCTACGGGAAATTAAACTTCTTCGTCATATGAATCATGATAATGTAAGTGTTGTTACCTATCCATTCTTGATACTGAATCTTTACTAAGCTCTATCTATTGCTGCCTTAAATTGTTCATTTGCTTGAAACCTTTGTTCTAAAAATTCGTTTATGGTGGAGCTCCAAGTGTTTGCAAAAGAATTTGTAGGTCGAATCTTTGTCTTACTCCTCAGTTTTTATACTTCTTCAGGTAGTTGCAATTAAAGACATCATACGGCCTCCACTAAAGGAGAACTTCAATGATGTCTACATTGTTTATGAATTGATGGACACCGATCTTCATAATATCATCCGATCCAACCAGCCATTGGCAGATGATCATTGTCGGGTTAGCCTCAAGTCTTGCTTTGTTTATTTTGTATTATTTTAATGGATTTAATAGCACTCATTGCTTAATTATTTTAACTTCAATTTTGTAGATTAGAGAAGGCAATATTTTAAATTTGGCTAGAGGTGCCACCAAACTACTTTATCATATCCACAAACTTCATATGTGCGCATCTCATGCATCTTTTTTATTATCCTTTCTCCCACTTTCCAAAGGCCCTAAGAAATAGGAAATGAGAGAAATAAAAGAGGATTTGAAACTTCTGAAGCCAATTAAACACGAGAAAGCTTGCTTTCAAAACACCTTGCATTTACTTTTAGAAATCATTTTCATCAGTTATTCTTCTATTGTTAAGATGTAAGATTGGATGAATTATTTAATTTATTTGAGCACTTTTATTAATCATGCTTTATTTCTTAATAGGTACCAGTTTGTCTATTCAAAATTTAAGTTTTGTTAGTCATACGTTATCAATATATACGGCAGTATGAGTATATATAGACAAGTTTTCTGTTATGCCCAGTTTAATAATTTTCTTTCTGAATTTGCAGTACTTCCTATACCAAATTCTACGAGGACTTAAATATGTGCATTCTGCAAATGTCTTGCATCGTGATCTAAAACCAAGCAATTTGCTCCTCAATGCGAATTATGATTTAAAAATCGGAGATTTTGGACTTGCAAGGACTACATCTGAGAATGATTTCTCAACTGAGTACGTTGTTACTCGCTGGTACAGGGCGCCCGAACTGCTTCTAAATTGTTCAGAATATACTGCCGCGATCGATATCTGGTCAGTTGGTTGCATACTTGGTGAAATCATGACAAGACAACCTCTATTTCCTGGAAAAGATTATGTCCATCAGTTGAGACTTGTCACAGAGGTATGTGTTTGCAGCATTAGTGAACGCATATTTGGATGAAATAACAAAACTAGGAAATTTCCGATATGCAGCATTGGAATGAATAGTATAACGAATATAATCTTTCTGCCCGTTTGGGTTGTGTTTTAGTATTGATGATTAAGTTTTGAGTTTATTTTCAATTTTCTATTTTGAGGGTCTATTTTAAGATTTGCTAAAAATGCGTTTGTTTGTCATCTTAAAAAGGTATTTCTCAAAACAAAAAATTAGAAGACATTTTTCATTTGGAATTTTGAGAAATTGTTTTATGACTTTTTATACCATGAAATTTGATTATTAGTACAATTTTATGTTAATATATTATCGATTAATATATACATTTTAAAGTTGATGAATCTTACAATGTTTTTTCACAAACTAAAATAAAAACAATGGCAAAACATAGGAATTAAAATTGAAAATTAATGATGTGGACTAAGATTTTTTATCTGTGTTCATTTAAATATATTGTTCTATAGTTTTTATGTAAATAACCATTAAGAGTCTGTACTATTTTTATCTTTCTAAAATTTTCTAGAATTTTATAAAATTTTCTAGAATTTTAGGGAGTGTTCTCTTTGTGTTTCAGTTTTGTGTTTTAAGTTTTGAATTCATTTTGAATTTTGTGTTTTGAGTGTTTGTTGTGAAATTGTTGAAAATGCATTCTTTTTGTTAGTTTCTCAAAACAAAAAAAAATGAATTTTTTTTTTTTGAAATTTTGAGAATCACCACAACACCACCTCAAAAAATAAAAAAAAAATTAATTAATTAATTTTTAATTTTTTTTGAAATTTTGGGAATCACAACACCTCCTCAAAAAAAAAAAAAAAAAAAAAAAAAGGTGTTTCCCGCGTTTTCAATTTTTTCAAGTTTTACACTGAAAACGCCCAAAATGACAAAAAAGTCGTTTAGTGTTTTCTTCACAATTTTTTTTTTCGTTTTCGAAAACGGGAAAGAGAACACGTTTTCACTGTTTTGAAAAATCGAAAATAGAAAACAGCCCGAAAACGGTAAAAAGAACAGGGCCTTAGTTTTTCAGAATCTTAATTTTATTTTTTTTTGGAACTTTTTTTTTTTTTTTTTTTTTTTTTTTTTTTTTTTTTGTATTTTTTTTTTTTTTTTTTTTTTAGAATTTTAGAATTTATTTTTCAAAATTGTATTTTTTCTTTTAATTTTATAATTTAATTTTTTTAGAATTTTATTTAAGTAAGAAATTTTCACTCTTATTTAATGTGTGTTGAGTGTTTTCAAGGTTTGCACTGAAAACACTCAAAACGTCAAAAATAAGAAGTTTTGGGTGTTTTGCAAAATTGAAAACTGAAATATTACTATTGTTTAAATCAATATACAGAACATACTTGTTCAGTCTACCTCGTTTCTTTATCTTTGTTAAATTACCTTCTTGCTTCAGTTTCTGATGCTTATTCCTCTCGAATGTCTAATGTCAGTGGTGAGGATTCAGATCAATTCCATTGTTTCTTGGTAAAACTTTTGACTTTCTACGTGTACATAAACATGTAGATACATTTTCTTATTCTCTGATAAGCATGAATCCAATTCTGCATCATTAGTTATAGGAAAGATTATAACCCTAAGGGGTAGTTCAGTCGTAAACATGTAGATACATTTTCTTATTCTCTGATAAGCATGAATCCAATTCTGCATCATTAGTTATAGGAATGATTATAACCCTGAGGGGTAGTTCAGTGGTTAAGTTTTGAGTTTACTCCCTAATAGTTATCAGTTTGAGTCCCTTCAAAATCACTGAGGTGAGTACGCGACTGTAAATTTCAGGCCTCGTGGAATTGGTCGAAGTGCTGGTAAACTAGCCTGAACACTCACGGTCATAAAAAAAAAAATAATAATAATAAAGTTATAGGAAAGATTATCTTTTGAGATGAATCAAAGATTTCCTTCTTAGAAGCTGCTGCAATTCTCCCTGCACTCTGATTTGTGAAGGTTTTATATGGCTAGAGTTACCCGGGATGTTTTAAATTGACCCTGTGCTAATCTTTTTATTTAGCTGTTTTCTTTTCTAACCATCTATATGCACGGTAAAGCCCGCCTTCTGGATATGATCAACTTATTTTTTTCATTCTAAAAGCTCATAGGCTCACCAGATGATGCAAGTCTCGGGTTTCTTAGGAGTGACAACGCCCGAAGATATGTCAGGCAACTTCCTCAGTTTCCAAGGCAACAATTTTCTGCGAGATTTCAGAACACTTCTGCTGGAGCTCTGGATTTGCTAGAGAAGATGCTCGTCTTTGACCCGAGCAAACGTATCACAGGTATGTTTTGACTACAGTTAATTTTTTGGCTGATTTTTAACTTCAGTGTGGAATTAAAACTTGAGGACTAAGGCTGGCTGTTGATATTTTAGCTATATGAACGCTATAAAACTCTGGGAAAGATCAATAACATACAACTTGAATACAATAACAATCACAAAATATGGCAAAAAATTCTGCAAGTATCTGGCAAACAAGTCACCCAAGAATAGAAAAACAGCTTTTGGAAAAGATACTTGATGAAGACAAGAAATTCAATGATTTTCTTCCCTTACTTCTTTTGGGTGGGGATGGGTGTTTGGGGGGTTCATTATTACTTCTGAATTGATGTTACAAATCTTTCTTGATCTTTGCAGCCGACGAGGCTCTTTGCCACCCGTATTTGGCGCCACTTCATGATATTAATGAGGAGCCAGTATGTCATAGGCCTTTCGTTTTTGATTTTGAGCAGCCGTCATTAACCGAAGAGAATATCAAGGAACTCATCTGGAAGGAATCGGTAAAATTTAACCCCGACCCAACTCGTTAAGGAACGTGATTATATGATGTTGACCACAAGATATTCGAGTTCAATAAATAATGGTCTCAGGTTCTTGTTAGAATCTTATTCAGGCATTGTATCCGTAGTGAATCCTGTTGTACAAAAGAGCAGCAATAACATGCCCTTAAATGGCTTCTCCTTGTTAAAGATTCTGTGATCTGTGTGTTTTTTCCGATGTTTTTCAGATCTCTTTTGATTATTTTCCTAATCGTTTGATTGCATTGGTTAAGGATCTTGCATTTTACAGTTATTTGTAACATTATAATCGACTGTCTTACTTCTTAAAACAGGATATTATAAAAATTTCTAGTGTTGCTTTTATGTCTTAATTGTCTATAATTCGTAACACTTTTATCCAGAACCGTCTCTGATACCGATGAATGTACCAAGAAGCAACTACTTTTCTCAAAAGCTATAGCACAGGATAGGAGAGGCACAATCTATATAAAATATAAGTTCAGGCTCAGAACGAAATAAGCCCACCTGTGAGCAATCCTAGAGAATTGAAGACGAGATCTCTAACTCTGATACCAAACTGATATAGGAAGATGCGACCACTACTATCGAAGGCTATAACTTGGTGTTAGCCATATTCTTTGATGGAAGAGTTAACAATTGTGGGTGTTGCAGTGTAATCACCTTAGGCTGACCCTGTCTTAAATACGTGTTTTCAAGAATAGAACTTTGATCATCACTTAGTTCTGAAGCATGAAATTTAGGGCTTTTATTGAAGTGAACATACGTTCAAAATTGACTCAAATATAATAGTTCAAGTCCATGCTATCAAACAAAGTAATAGTTTAAGAACCCAGAACTTGTATTTTTACAGTTGAAGAGAACATTTCAAGAGTTGCACAAATTTAGGAAATGACAAAACATAAAACTTTTAACAGTAACTTACATTTACGAATTCATATTCTAAGAACATCTCTGTAACTCTTTATTATCAATCGCCATGCTATCCTAAGAAAAATCACACGTACCGACATTCTCAAGACCTTGATCCAGCAGCAGATTGCACGGTATAGGCACCACATCACTCATAATCCCTTCAATTTCAGTACAAGTCTATGGATACTTCTTAGCCTTCTTCGCCGTAGCTATCGTCGCATTAGAAATGCAAATACCCGTAAATGGATCATCCAGAATACCCTCGAAACGAGCCACATTGATACAATGTACAAACTTATTCTGCACTCAAAGATGTGGAAACTGCCTACTGTTTCTTAAAAATTCGTCAACAGAAGAAGTTTGTTTTGAAGATGTATAGCTTCTCAAGAGTTTTCCAATATGCAACAAGTTTAGCAATCTTACTGCGTCCTTGTACCCATGTTAGGGGTTGACTCCATCTTCCTGGGTGCTGCCTAGTTTAGCACCGTGTTTCTTGATTATCCGAACGGACTGGAGAAGAATATCCTGCTCAGCATCCTTGTTCTAGAACCGCGTATAGTATAAGAACTGTTGTTAGCCAAGTGGAGTGGACAAATGTACAGGAAAATTTTTACATGTCTACCATAAAGCGCTGAGAATGATTGAAGTATAGAAACATCATCAACGCTGAGATATTTAATATTCTCAAATGCAATTACATTAACATGTAATATGATGAAAAACTACATCCAATTTCCGATAAAGATCGTAATTGAAAATTAAACCAAATCGTGAAGATTTTTACTGACTGAACAGTAGGAGAAGGTTAATTGGCAGCAGCATTGACCAGTATGACCATGTTGAAGGAAAATAAGAATATTTAAGAATATTAATATTGTCGTCCACCAAAAGAAGCACTAGAAAAAAGGAAATGTAAATACTAACTTGTAATTTTGAATTATATTCCCAAGAAAAATATTTCATTGTCATTATTTGTATTAAGTGCTTACTTGCTAGTGCTTATAACATGTGGATCCTATTGAATGTGGCTAAAAAGTGAATAGTAAATTGTGGATCCGGCGAAATTTGTGGATAAAAAGTAAATGTGCCTAGCTTAAATTATATTTAAGCTCTACCAAACATGCTGTCAAGCTTAAATCAGATACAAATCAGTTCTATACCAAAATAATGCCTAAAGGATGCCAGGAGAGTCTTCTGTAGTGTTGTGCATTAAAGATAAGCTTAGTAACATTTACAAGCTTCAATCCTGACATAGACAAATGTAAAGCAACATAATATAAACCAATTAAATTGATTGAAGTGCTCCAAATAATATCAGATAGAATTTGAAATAAAAACATTTGACAAAGAAACAAGCATACCATTTGTTTAAGATTGCATCCAAGAGTAAGTTCTGCATATGACCTCTCTATTCTAGACAAGAAACAGTAAGGCGCCTCCTTTTCCAAAAACACGTTTGAATTTGATTTGAGCATGGTCTTTATATCCTCCGATAGCAGGGGAATCTTTTCTAAGTCATCAATATGTAGCGGAATTCTTCTGACCATAGAACGCCATTGAGCCCGTGATTTATTTACAATCACCTACAAATGTTATACAAATGGTAAATTTATATTTACACTCAGATGATTATTCCTAATTAAAACATGAAAATATGAAGTAAAGACATTAATATTCATCAATCAAACACTTGGAAACAATTAATGAAACCTTATGACATAAAAAAGGGGGACAGGCATGCATAATGATAACATGAAGAGGAACACTTCAAAAGCATTGTCTAACATAGGTGATGATTAATGCAACTATTTGAAAAGAATATGAAAGAAGTAAAGCTCAAACCAATAAAAGGATTGGACAGTCAAGGAGATAAACCTACCTGACTGGAGAACAGTGAATTTGGAACGATAACCGGAAATTTTTCTGCAGTCAGCAGTGATGTTGTTGTAAGACCCATTTCGACCACTTGACCTTCTACAGATCCAGCCTGCAGAAATTTAGAAGAAACAAAATTATTAATTCAAAATCTGATAGCGACATTTGGAATTAGGGAAATTCATAATATATAGAAATACTAAAACCTATATTAACAGCCACATTGTTATTGCTATCCAAAGATATAACATAAATACAAAAGTTATACTTAGCCCTTGTTTGAGACTCTTTTAAAATTTTAATACATGTTTCTCTCTCTTCTTTTTAATCACATTCTTGAATAAAATAATATTATATGTAAATCAAAAAATTTTACTTCGTTTTTAACCATACATTCTCCCAAAAAATACTATTTCATAATACATTTTACCAAAATTTCTCTTTACAATGGGGCTCAAACAAGGGCTTAGTTTTATATTCAAATCCTCTAACCAGTTCTTTGTTTACTACAAATATCTGCTTCCTGGTTGATAATCAAGATTTTATACACACTAAGCCCCTTTTGGGCTCCATTAAAATGATTTTATTTATTTTTTTTTTTTTTTTTTTGCCCGGGGCTGTAAGTATTTTTTGGAGAATGTGTGGTTAAAACTTATAGAAAAGTTTTGAATTTACATATAATATTATTTTACAGGAAAATATATGGTTGAAAATGAGTTCTGAATTTTTAATTTTTTTACAAAATGGAGCCCAAACGAGGTTAAATGACCACTTCGTATTATGTACTAAACAAGAACTTACAGCTACTTCTACTGAGTGCTGATACATGGAACCAGAAATGGATATCCTTCAATTAATTTAAAAGTCTCTCTCGGTGGAATAACAAACTACTGCTTTTACAAGGCTGTGTGGTGCTTTGTAAAATGGATATTTTTTTTATTTTTTGTTTTTTGAGAGAATAATTAGAACTGGATGGCATGTAATTTTCTATTGCAAAGTGAAAAGAAATGTCAACATACTTTGATGGTGTCTCCAATTGAAAATGGTTGGGAAAACTGTACAGATAGTCCACTGAGAACATTTCCAAGTATGTCTCTTGCTGCAAAAGCAGTAGCCACTCCTGCGTGAATATGAACAGACAAAGTCAGCTTCAAATGGTCATGAAAATAGAACACATAAATACATCTAGTGGAACCAACACCCTCCTCCCCAGTATCATCTTCATTATTGATGTTAAACCAATAACCTGCAACTGAAACTGTTTCCCATGCACAGACTACATAATAATATTGCAAAATTATGAATTTTATAGATGGCCCACTCTACACGCCCTGGAAGTAGGGGTGGGCCAGCCCACAACCTAGCCGCCCCTTTACGTTCTGGGCAACCAGCTACTGCATGTTGAAATCTCTTTTCCATGTCATGTCATACCAAATTTTATTTGCAGCTTTCAATAACTCACATATATATCAAACGACTCAGAACCATAGGCTAAAGAAAACAATTGATTATGTACAAGGAGATGACTTACATTTTATTAATTATCCATTCAACACAATTAGTAATAAGCATATAAAAAGAACATGAACATTTCTCAAAGGCAGAAACTCGATAATGAGCATAAAATAATTCACAAGTAAACACACCTCCTATGCCTCCCACTGTCAAGATAGATTGCACGGCCACACCAGATGCCTCGGCTAAGGCCATCAAACCAACAACAAAGAGACCAACCGTGGAAATTTTGTCCAAAGTTAACAGCCTATCTCGGTCAAAGCCTTCCAAACTCTTCAATGCTAAAGCTCGAGTAATCACATTTGTTTTCCACCGATGGAGAAACCATACAAGTGACATGATAACAGCACCTCTCCAAGCCTGTGTAACGTACTCTGTGGTAATAACAGTTGGTGCCACCATCTCTCCACTGCACAAGGACAAAAAATCAAATTACGTTCATGGCAAATCGCCCAAATCCGACATAAGCATGCATAGAAGGGAATATTAAGTACAAGCCCACTAACATCTGAGAGAATGCCATGAAAGTGACCAAATATCGAATTGGATCCTCCAATGCGCCCCAAAAACTTTTCTCATAAGGAACAGGCCCCCACAATGAGCTCTTGACTAAGAAAGTAGCTGGGCCTTGCATCGACAGGTTATAGAATCTTCTCAAAAGCTTTGGCAATACTGCCCAAGCCAATAATGTACCGGCCAAAGTACCACCAACAGGGACAATAATGTCTCTAAGATAAGGATGAGTATCTAGTAATTGTTGAACATGTGGCATCACTTCATCAGACGCGTCTTTTGCTTTCTCCCCTGTATATTTTACAACATCAAGGGTAGAATGCCATGCGTCTTTAACTTTTTCAAGCCAATCACCCCCACCATTACTACCATCGCTTACACTACTAGGCCCACGTGCATCCACAGCCACTGGCAAATCAGGGCCTTGAGTAATGTTACCTTCATTACCCGTGCGCGACGAGAACAACCTATAATTCATCACAGGACTCTCCCCAGCAAATGCAAATGCACCTCGAGAATTCGAATTCGTAAATAGCCTACGCGAAAAATATGGATTTAAACAATTTCCCTTAGAATTCTGAATATCAACGGTAAAGTTCAAACCCATTTTTCCAAAATTAAGGGCATGCCCAGATTCTCTAGTGGGATTATTTCTACACAAAAATACAATTGATGGTCTTATGTCAGGTCCAGTCCCGTACTTCATAGAACGATGAAGCGATTTCAAGCTTAATATTCTGATTGAAGTCATTTGACTATATTAGTCAACAAAATTTCAACCAAACTTGCGCAATCTGCAAATAACATAATCAAGAAAAGGGAAGCTTCAGATGCAGAACTTCAAGTTGGCCTTTACTCTTCAATATAGAAAACAAAAGCACAATAATTTAATGATTTCTTTTACTTTTGCAATTTCATTTAAAGCAAAAGCAAATAACTGAGATTGGTTTTGATGCAAGTAGAACTGACCTGATGATGAATTATGTTCAAAATTTACAATCACAAAACAAAACATGAAGCACGAAAAATCAGCAAATTTATATTGATTTTGCTTATAGGTAAGGGATGGTGGGGTTCCAAAACAAGAACTAATGGCTCTCTTTATAATGGAACAATTAGTAATTATGGAACCGAACCAAAACCGAATGAATGTTTTGGTTTGGTTTGGTTCTAGAATCAAAATTTCCAAAATATATTATAAAATGATTAATGTGTAAAGAAAGATAATGAGCAAAGATGACTAAAATTGATAACTAGTAGAGAAAATAAGTGATATAGGACAATTTTACTTCAAATAGGATGGGAAATTTTTATTGTTCTAATAGGATTTTATTTCTTGTTCACATTAGGACTTTTTATTTTTATCTTTATATTTTTATTACCTTTTCTTTTAGGTTTTAATTACCCATCTTCCTTAAACTAATATGATTAGGATAGTATTTTACTAATAAACAAAAGAATTTGTATTTTTTGGATTCAGGTCCACAACCATGGGTTCCAAATAGCACTTACCAATGAGGCCCTATCAATTAGTATTACACAGAAGATATCAATTATACAAGTATTAGTAGCATAAGAGAAATACCTTCCTAGGCTTTGTAATTTTTGGATGACCAAAGCATTACAATAAAATTATTCTCTACAAATATTCAAGTTAGTTCAATTTATTCTTGTTTCAAGAACTTCAATTCCGCTTCCTTACCAAAATTAGTATCAGAGCAAAAATTTGCCCTCGGATGCATTCTTGTGATAATGACCAGATGATTGCAATATTACCAACCTCAATCTAATATCTGGAACGAGGAATAGACACGTTCGAATATGCTGCAGACAAAAATTTGCAGACTTTGAATTGGTCGGCTGCCTCTTCAATGAGTCCATAACAAGGCAATAAGTAGCTAGAGATTTTTCTCTAGTCCACAACATATGCAAAAATTTTGGGGATTTTTCCTCCTAATTGATTATGCAAGATTACCAACCCCTCAGTAACTAGAGGAGACGGCATACACAAGCACTTGGTCCATCTTCTTCTTAAGATGAAGAGCAAGCACCAGTTTATAGAAACAATAGCATACCATGATAAACATGGGGAAAAAAAAATAATAAGGAAATTATAAGTATGGTCATGCGATTATAACAGATTATGAAAGTTAAGTTCGGTCACACTAAGAAATAACACCTGATTGACTGTTGTTTCGTCGAGATGTAGGGAGAAATAAAGATAGAATGTGAGATACAGAGAGGCAGTTATAGAATGTGAGATACAGAGAGGCAGTGATTAACTGAAAGTTCGGCGGTGGTGTCGGCGAAGACTATTTGCAAGTCAGGCGGTGACCATGGCGAAGAAGATCGGGGCCTGGTGGTCGATTGGAAATCTGCAAGTCAAAATTAGGGATTTGTGAGTTAATTGTTTTAATGGTCACATGCTTGTGTTTATTGGTAATTAAAGTTTAAAATACCGAGTTTTCGTCACTGAACTTAGATTCATGTTTTCGATTGCTAAGTGAAGTTTAAAATGTCGAATTTTAATCATTGAACTTTAAAAAATATTATACATTACTCACTAAACTTTAAAATATGCTGCACATTACTCACTCTAAATTCGATATTTTTCAAAGTTTAATAGTTATGTTTAAGGGTGGCAAATGGACTGAGCGGCTCGTTGGTTCACGAAAACGGAGCTCGCAGGCGGCTCGGGCTCGTAAAAACACGAGCGCGAGTCGAGCTGCCCGATTCAGTGGGCGAGCCGAGCTCGAAAACGGCTCGTTTTTCAGCTCGTGGCTCGTTGAAAACGAGCCCAACTCGTGGGCTCGTGTTAAAAAGTGACCGTAACCATTTCGATCCCTGAATTTTTTTATTTTTTTAAATAAAATTATGATCGTTAACGGTCACTGAATTTTTTCAATGACCGTTTCGATCCTTTAACTTTTTTTCTTCTCCTTCTATAAATAGTTGCATTTAGCTACTATTTTTTTTACAATTTACTCTCAACTCTTAATTCTCTTTCTTTCAACTCTCTTTTGTTGTGTTAATAGTTGTGCAATTTTTATATACAATTTATACAATATTCAATTCTCATTTCTCTGTTCTCACTATATTTATTGAAATTTCATCCAATTTTCATTTCTCACTACATTTATACAATTATTACAGTTAAACAAATGGATTCATGCACATTTGTCGAAAACTTGTTCGGTGTGGGAGGAAACGAATCGCCTATGACACCGCAAAGTCAATTTCGGAATCAATTTGAAGGTCTAAATGACGTACTCCTATCTGAAGATATTCCAGATTTGGATCTTCATCATCATGTAAGCGGCAATCCAAATTATCCAATTAATTTGGATGATGTTACGTTCCCGAAGCTGAACACGATCAGGAAGAAGAGGCTGAATTAAACATTCCCGATACGAGGGGAAAACGAAAGGGGAAAAAAAAGCAAAATGTTGGGATCACTTTAAGTTGATTTCAACAGGAAAAATTGTCAATGGAGTCCTAGAATCCAAAGTAGTATGTAAATACTGCCAACAAAGATTGGCATGACAAAGAGGAATTGGTACCACCCATCTCAACCGTCATTACAAAGTATGTGCGGCCAAACACGAACTTATTCCAGGCTGTTAAACACAATTGCAATTTGGCAGTCCAGACGCCGATGGTTCTGCTGCACCCCTATCCACATGGGTGTATTCGGAGAGGAGAGCTCGAACCGGAATGGTGAAACTTGTTGCTGGTGCTCAATTGCCTTTAGCATTAATTGACAACCAACACTACGTCTCGTATATGAAAGAATATCTGCAGCCAAGGTACGTTAGGGTAAGTCGAAATACTCTTCGTTCCGATACAATACAATATTTTACTGAAACAAAACAACAATTAATTATGAATTTGCAAAAATATGGGGGTGTCATATCTTTAACTTTGGATATATGTGAATGGATTAATAAAAGAGCATATATAACTGCAACTGTATATTATAGAAACCCACTTTGGTGCATGCATAAAAAAATTATTATTTTTAGAATTATTGAGTTTCCTCACAACGCTAATAATATATTTAATGCTATTATTAGTATTGTTAGAGAATATCATTGCGAAGGTAAAATTCGTTCATTTACTTTCGATAATGCTAGTGTTAATAAAGAAGTTGTCGATAAATTGCATAGGGCACTGCAACCTGATTTTGGTGGGTATTTGTTTCATATTCGTTGTGTATGTCATATTTTGAATTTAATTGTCCAAAATGGTTTAAAACATATAAAGGATGAACTTCAAAATATTATGAACGCACTAATATATATATCACAATCTCCCCAAGTAGAAAACAAGTATTTGAGGAGTATTGTGCCGAAATAGGAGTGCAAAATGCTAAAACATTTGATAGCGACATAGATCATAGGTGAAACTCTACTTACTTGTTATTAAAGTCATATGAAAGTTTTGAACATTTAATAATTGACTTTTATAACAATAGACATGTTAGAAGTAATGACGAGGGTATGTTGACTGAACGTGATTGACAAATAGTTTTGAAAATTAAAAGATTTTTGACATCTTTTTATGAAACCACTAAGATTTTATCGGGCGTTTACTATCCCACCAGTTGTATGGTGCTTGAATGTCTTCATATAATTGTAAGAACATTTCATAAATACAAAAATGACCCTGATTTTAGTAAAATTATAATTGCTATGGAATTAAAATTTAGAAAATATTGGGAAGACTTGCCTATGTTATTTCCTTTAACGTGCGTGATGGACTCCTGATATAATTTATCAAGAGCTAAATATATAATTGATTAAATTTCAAACGCCTTAACATTTGATACACCTATCACATATAGAAATTTAGAGCAAACATTATGTAAAATGTATGAATTATATGCGAACCGAATGGGTACCAATATTAGTCGGGTACCATCTGCACCTGCTCCTTCCGCTAAAATTAAAGAAGAGGATGCGGAAATATTTAATTTATTTCAAGGCATTAATTCGTATTGATATGATTCATCTGCAATTTGTCCATCTACTGCCACTGTCATGTCGACAATGTCGTCACCATCTGTATCTCATTCTCATCAAACATCTACGGGCTCAAGCCGTAATGCATTGCCTGCTGAATTAATTGATTATTTCAATCAGAATATGCTAACAAATAAAACAATTAAAAAAAGTTCAGACGAAATAATTGAATTCTGAAGAAGGTATGAACGACGTTGGCCAGTTATATCTGCGATTGCAAGAGATCTGCTGACACTTCCGGTTAGTACTGTTGCTTCGGAGTCTGCTTTTAGTGCAGGTAAAAGAGTTTTGAGTGAGGTCAGAAGCCAATTAAAAGAAGATATTTTAGAAGCATTAATGTGCGTTAAGGATTGGCAGGACGCTCATTTTCGACTACAAGATAAATATGCCGAAATTGTATGTCGTCAAGTAAGTGATATTTGATTTAATTATATTAATGAAACTTTTATTTTATTATCGTTACTTTTAATTTTCTTTAAAAAATTGTACACGCTCCAAAAAATTGTTCGTGTACAATTTTTAACTCCGCATACTGAAAATTTAAGTAGCCGGTCCCAAATCCGGATAAAGGAGGAGGGTTTATACTTTATCTATTTAAAAAAAATAAAGATTTCATTTTTATTTTTTCTATCTCTTTTAGTTAAAAAAAAAAGGAAAAAAAATTTCCACCAATTTAGTTAAATTTTTATTAGTACTTGGTACTATTACTACTATATATCTACAAACAAACAACACAATTTTTAATTTAGCCTACTCTAAATTTAAGTAGCCGATCCCAAACTCGGATAAAGGAGGAGGGTTTAAATTTTTTACCTAGTTTTTTATATATAATTCATGATTTAAAAATTAAAATTACTTTTTTATTTTCCAATTTACCTATTTATTTCAAAAAAAAAAAACGACGTCTACTCTCGAGCAGAGCTCGCCCATTTTTGGATGAGCCGAGCTCGTGCTTTCATGAGCCGATCCAGCTCGGCTCGACCCATTGACACCTCTAGTTATGTTAGTGAGTAACATACGACATATTTCAAAGTTCAGTATTTAAAACTCGACATTTTAAAATTTTAGTGAACAATTTAAAATATGGACCTAAATTTAGTGAACAATCGAAAAAATGGCCTAAGTTCACTAACTAAAACTCGACATTTTAAATTTCAGTAACTAATTAAAGACATGAACTTAAGTTACTGACCATTAGAACAATTAACCGGGGTTTGCCTCATTTGGAGTAATTTAGCAACTCTGTTGAAATCAAATTTTGGAGAAAATATATTTTGGAAAATATATTTTGAAATATAGTGGTTCTTTGTGTCTCATTAGTTGTGTGTAACGTATTATGGAATAGTGATTGATATTAAAACGTATCATTAAAAAAGAAAGAAAATTTTTTTATTTATGTATAATTTATTTTAATGAAGAATGTGTAGTTAAAAATTAGTACTATAGAAAAAATAACTTGTTAGAATGTGAAAAAATTGTAGACAAACAAAGCCACAGTGAAAAATATGTGGTTGAAAAGATAAAAGAAAAAAATGGTTTTTTAGAATGAAGCCTACTTAGGCTCCGTTTGATTCTCATTTTTTTCAAGATGCATTTTTTCTCTCTTCTTTTCAATCACACATTCTTTATAAAATAATATTATACGTAAATCAAAAACTTTTCTTTATTTTTGATTGACACGCTCTCCATCAATCTAATAATTCATTTTTTCATAAAAATAGGTGTCAAATATCCTCTTAATGCACCAACCTCTATAAATTTTAAACAAACTGTTCGATTATTAGTACTAAAGTTGAAACGAAACTCGATTTTGGATTATATGAATCATGACAAGCAGTATTGTATGAAATTTACCGATGACAAAAGAATCCATTTACACCAATATCCGAAGGGCCCCAATCTAGAATGGGGTGGAAATTACCCGCCTAACCTAGTAAACGCGGTAGGGATCATTGGCTCGAAGCGGATACGGGCCAAGTACTAGAAACATGGTTCTGCACTCATTACCTGTCTTGTTTAAAGTTAATTTCAAATTTAAGTTTTTTATCGAATAAAAATAAAAGATTTATCATAATTTCTAAAGAGAACGTGAATTGTTCTTAATAAATTGAAGAAGAAAAATTGTAATAATATTAACTAAAGACATAAAAAAAATTAAAGCAAAAAATAAAATAGATAAAAAAAAAGTAAAGTGGGCTATAAATGAGGCAGGGACCAATCACGATCTCACTTCAATTTGCTTTAACCGGGTACGATGATGGAGTAAAGTGACAAAAATACCCAATGAGATGACGTAGGATTGGTTGAACCGTCCCTTACCTATCCAATCGCCATCCTTATTTTGGTTCTTTTGCACCAAGGACTTGTTCAAAGTGATTTTTA